GTATTGGCCAGTAGCAGTGACCACAGGCAGGTCCCCCGCTAGGGGCTCTACAAGGAACCTTTTACTTAGTTCTCTCTACCACCCTATGGCTAGTAAGTTACTCAAATTCACTTATGAAGTGGATGATCATTTGACAAACCTGTGTACTTTGCCACCACCCAATATAGTCATCCAGTTATTATGTGAATGACAAAAAGAGGTAAAGGCCCCAAAATAATGAATATGTGTGTATCTACTGCAAAATGTGCTTTACACATATTATTGCATTTGTGCCACACATTGGTTTTGTGAAGATTACTAGTATTATCCCCATTAGACAGATGAGGAAACTGAGGCTTGGGGAAATTGGGTACTCAGGCCACACAGCTAGTGATGGAGTTACAGAAAGGCTATCTTAGAAGTTACCTTAGTCAGCTAGGGCTCTTATAACAAGACTAGAGGCCCGGTGCACAAATTCATGCACAGGTGGAGTCCCTTGGCCTGGCCAGCAATCAGGGTGATCGGGGCCAGGGAGAGGGACCACGGGAGGTTGGCCTGCCGAGGGAGGTTGGCTGTGGGAGCACACTGACCACTGGGGCACAGCTCCTGAGGTGAGCATATGCCCCCTGGTGGTCAGTGAGCGTCACAGCGTCATAGCAACCGGTTGTTTGGTCGACCAGTTGTAATAGTCACTTAGGCTTTTATATATATAGACGTTATTCCTTTTCATATATCTGCTCCACTAATTATTAGAATTATGTCATCTTTGTCAGAGCTCATAGATGTAAACAGTGTAAACTTTGTCCTAATTCAATGTCTTTATAATCATTGTGAGTCTGCTTCTTTTGAATATTAACTTGATGTGCTAGAGCAGTGGTTCTCAACCTTGGCTGCACATTAGAATCACCTGGGAATCTTTTTAAAATCCTGATTTCTGGGCCTCATTCCTCAGATGTCAGGATTTTAAAAAGATTCCCAGGTGATTCTAATGTGCAGCCAAGGTTGATAACCACTGTGCTAGAGACTCATACTCTGTAATTATTGACTTTTTAAAAGTAATTATTTCCACCTGGTGGTCTTTTGGAATTGGTACTGCAACATCCGACTGGAATTTCAGCACGTCTGGTCCACCAAATTCAAAAACTCTAATAGCTCTCATCAACTTCTGTCCAGTTGCCATGGTGATCTAGAGACTAAGAAAAAATATTAATGTATTGTCCTATTGTATCTAGGCTATCACTATGTTTTCTCCCCCTCCTGGAAGGTTAGATCAAACAATTTTTCATATGACAATTTAAATCACAAGATTACTACTGATTTCATTTCATGTTTAAACATCTTTCATCTTACAAATCCTTCAGCTACAAAGCAAAATGTTACTTCCTGTAGAGATTCAATGCCTTCAAACAAGGGAATCAACATGCACACAAAAACATCTGGATAGGTATAGCATAATGAATATCATAGGCGTCCTTGTGTGTAAGCTTGGGCTGCAACATCTTGGACATTTTAGAAGTTCATGCAAGTTTTATTAACATTAGATAAATAGATCTTCTCTTGTTAGATTATAATTTCAAATACATAAAGAAATAAAAAGATACAATAGACACATTCACCTGCCACCCACCTTTAACAAATCTTAACATTTTAAAAACCTAAAACATTATAGATATCACTGAAGCCTCTGGTACCCATCCCCAAACCCACTTCTGTCCCACCCTTCCACGAGGTAACTATTACCACAAACCCAGTGCTCATCATTCCCAGGCATGATGTTATCTCACTACTATTTGCGAATGCATTACCAAGCAATATATGCTATTGTTTTTGCATGTTTTCAAACTTTGTTTAGATTAGATTGTACTGTACTTAATTCTGCAACTTGCTTTTTCCTCTTAGCGTTATGTTTTTGGTATTTATCAATGCTAAAACACTTTGCTTTATGAAGTTCAGTCAGTTTAACAAAGGAGGAAAAACATTAAAAACTAAAAACACTGCTTTGTATGCCATCTTTTATAAATTACAAGGGTAATTTACAGTTAACCTTTCTGGCCTACCCCCGTTAACATTAAATTGAGAAGAAAACTTAAAGTTTTAAAATAGAGTGGCAGAAACTAGAACTTGAGATGAAAGAATTCAGACTTTTATTGAATGGAAGTTCAACACAGGGCTACTCAGAACAGAGTCCATGCTGATTACAAAATGTCATTCCATGTATGGAGGGAGGGCAGGAATGGAGAGGTCAATGGGAAAAAGAGGAGACTTATGTAATACATTAAATAATAAAGAATTTAAATTTTTTTAAAAAGCATTCTGATGGTGTTCTTAATAGACAGCTCTAAGTATAATTAGTCAAAAGTTGCATCATTAAAAAACCTTTATTTAAAATGATTTAACATAGTACCCAGCACAGAGAAGAAAGTAACACTTCCATTGCTGAAAGGTTGTTTAGCAATGATATATCCTGAAGGACAACCCTCGAATAAAAGGGGGCAGAAGCAGGCAAAAGGCACAAATCTAAGAGCACGGTAGGGCAGCTAAGCAGTCCCTGAGGGTGGGAAGACCTGTGCAGACTACTTACTCCACGGCCTCACTACTGTATTTCCATCTTCACTTAAGCTGGGTATTTCTTAGACAAAAATAATTATGAAAAAATAAAACAGGGGAAAAAAAAGATTGCCTAGATCAGAGTTTACCATTCTGAAAATAAGAACACCACTTCCTTTTTTCCTTTCTGCCTTCAGCATGGTGTTAGGGAAAGTGTGGGCTTAGAAATCTGACAGCTCTTAGTATGAATCCCAGCTCTATCGTTCACTAGGCATGTAGCATTGGGCAAGGCAGTCAGGTTTTTTGAGCCTCTTCATCCGAACACTTTTTACTGTGCTAGTGACATGGCAAGCACCAAGTACAGAACCTGGCCGAGGTTTACTCCTATGTATAGAAGACACCATTATGCCTTTCCCATCTATTTTCTCTTTTCTAATTTCTTATTAATGAAAATATTCTTGATTCTATAATTCTATAATCACCTTTGATTTACTATTACAATATTTACAGGATTCTAGTTGTAAAACCAAGTCCTAAGCCCCAGAGTTCAGAGTCTAGAGAATGATGAATGATTTAAGCTAAACATTAATACCAAATATTGGTCATTATTCATTCAACTTTTTTTTTAGCATCAATTGTTAGGGAGGCACTGTGCTAAACTCAGAGAACACAAAGGGCAAAGAGAAAATGCCTCAGCCCTTCCCCAGCTCCTGCTCACTCCCACTCCCTCACATGTACACACACACTGGGTAAGATTTGTAGCTCCTTTTCCGCTTTCAGTATCTACTCACTTCTACCTATTCATTTCTTTCATGCACTCGCATTTATCTTTTCACCAACAGACATCACTATTATCCTCAAAAAACTGTAGCAATAATAAAAGCAAAATTACCCTGAAATAGAATCTGTCAAAAATATCTAGCACGTACATTTTTCCCCTCTACATTTTGACATTTTCTAAATGGGGAGAAAAGAACAAAGTAAGGAGGAGACTCATCCTTAATACTGGGTTTAGAAGATACCCTGCTTTGTCCAAAACTATCACATTATCCTGTGGCGCCGGTAAGGAGACAGGCATGACCTTGACAGCTCTGTCTTCCACTTTGCTTCTGGCCATCTTATTTCCCACTGAGCTTTTGCCACTATGATTGATCAGGCTCCAGTCTGTACTCCTTGCTTTTGAACACCCTCAGCGACCCACAGGGTCATGATCCACTTCATAATACAGGTGCTATGTCAGAAGGTATAATAAAAAGAATAAAATAACACAACGCACAAATAGAAATTATGATAATTCTTAAGCCCCCGCAATACCTGATTTCTTCTCAGAAGCACATCTTTCACATCCATTGATTTAATTATTTTCACAATAGGAAGAGAAGAAATGGTTATTAAAACCACCACCTAATTGTATGAAAAAGTGGAAATAAAATCACCATCCATTTTATGGATGAGAACATATTCCAAGAGGTTAAGAGATTCACCAAGGTCACACAGAGACAACGCTAGAACCCAAGTCCTACGTCCTAAATTCTGTTGGATGATTTTATTCTCTTACTATACAATCCTTTTCATCTCACCCTTTGAAATGTTGACAAAGAGGACCTTAATTTCTTAGGAATGTACTTTATTATGATGATAGTGAGACAGACTGTTAGAAATATGAAATCTGGCCCAGCCGATGTGGTTTAGTGGTTGAGTGTCAACCTTTGAACCAGGAGGTCATGATTTGATTCCCAGTCAGGACACATGCCCAGGTTGCAGGCTCGATCTTGAGTGTGAGTGTGCAGGAGGCAGCCAATCAATGATTCTCTCTCTCCTGCTCCCTACCTCTCTGAAATTAATAAAAATATATTTAAAAAATAAAAAATATATTTTTAAAAAAGAAATATGAGCCCTGACCAGTTTGGCTCAGTGGCTAGAGTGTCGGCCTGTGGACTGAAGAGTCCCAGGTTCAATTCCGATCAAGGGCATGTACCTTGGTTGTGGGCACATCCCCAGTAGGGGGTGTGCAGGAGGCAGCTGATTGATGTTTCACTCTCATCGATGTTTCTAACTCTCTATCCCTCTCCCTTCCTCTCTGTAAAAAATCAATAAAATATATTTTTTTAAAAAGAGAAATATGAAATTCAACTAACCTGCAGGTAGGATTGCGTATTTTATGACCAAAGCATCTGCTTACAATTTGAATGATCTCAAACGCCCATAAGTTAGAGGATCTACTAGAGATATACAGGACATTACTCTAAAAGGGGAACTAATTTCCTTATCTGTAAAATGGGACCAATACTCCCTAGCATAGAATCCTTGTGAGGAGTAAGAGCAGCGGCCCATGGTGCGTGTGTCACAGCACACCTAGCATACAATAAGCTCTGTCATTCAGAGTAAATCACTTGGAGTCAGCAGATCTGTCACATTGCTTGTGTTTTTTTTTAATTAAAGTGTACTTCAAATGACTTTTTCTATTGATCAAATATAAACTTTAAAATTTTTCACCAGAGTAACTTGGTTTTCATTTTTATTGTTTAATCTGTGAAAGGTTGCTAACCATACTTTGCAAATCTAGGAAATTCAGAATTTAAAATTCTTCCCCAAACAGTGATCTTCTCCATGCAACACTTGAATCCATTAGGTTTAAATGAAAAGTAAAGGATAAAGAAAATGTTAGAAATCTATTTTAACATGGTCAATTTACAAAGCCAGAGCAAAGACAGAGAAGTAACATTAAATAAAAATTTTAGGCAAGAAATAAAAAAACAAAACAAAACCTTGGGAAGATAATTATTATATAACTAGAGGCCTGGTGCACAAGATTCATTAACTGGGGATGGGGTGGTGGGGAGGGTGTCCCTCAGCCCGGCCTGCGCCCTCTCACAGTCCGGGACCCCTTGGGGGATGTCCACCTGCCAGCTTAGGCCCAATCCCCCCGGGGTTGAGTGTCAACCAGGGATTGGGCCTAAGCTGGCAGTCAGACATCCCTCTTGCAGTCGCGGACCCCCTTGCTCCTTATGGCCAGCCTGCAGTGGAGGTGGGAGAGGCTTCTGCCACTGCTGCTTCTGGCTGAACAGCACTCCCCAGAGCTCACTGACCACCAGGGGGCAGCACCTGCATTGAGCGTCTGCCCCCTGGTGGTAAGTGCATGTCATAGCCACCAGTCATTTGGCCGTTAGGTCGATTTGCACATTAGGATATAATATATAGGATATAGGATAGGATGTCAGGGTACATGCCCAGTTTACTGCTTCATCCCCATTGAGGGGCGTGCAGGAGGGAGCCAATCAATTATTTTCTCTCATCATTGATGTTTCTCTTTCTCCCTCCCTTCTTCTCAGAAATCAATACAAATAAATAAAAATAAAATTTAAAAAGAAGAATGACTCATGTAAGCATATTATTTATTATTCCTAACCCCAAAGAAATTTTAAAAAGTTAGAAGTGGCCAAGGATAAGTCTCTTCCTGGCTGTGACCTGGGCGGGTGGGTGCTGGCCAGGACCTCCTCCCTCACCCCCCACAGGAGAGGGGGGAGGAGGAGTTAGTGACCTACAATTCTAACCTCCTCCGCCCCCCTCCCCGCCCCAGGCTCTCCCGCGGGAACTGAACCGGGCAGGCCACCTGCCCTGCAACCTCGGGGAGCTGAGCTCCGTGGGGTTTGCTGCTGCTGACCAGGCCTTCCCACAGCCACCCACTAGCTGCGGACAGACAGTCCAAACTTCAGCCTTTCAGTGGTTCAATCATTAACACCCTCCTGGTCACGGCGGCAAGGCTCCTGGAGGGACCGGGTAAACATCCAACCATGTGTTAACAGGGTGTTTTGTACTTTTTTTTTCCTTTGAAGATTATTCTAGGTGGGGGAGATCTGAGGAAAAAGGTAAAAAACAAAACAAACAAACAAAAAGACGAACAAAAACACAAACCACACATTCCTCTCCAAAAGTAAGATGGCAAACCTGATGGACAAGCAGGAGGAAGGCCCGGCAGACAGAGCTCGGAGCCCCTGCAGTTGCAGGAACCAGAGACAAACCAGCTCCCAACGAGCGCACAGCCTGAACCTCGGGGCGCCGTTTAAAACCACTTACCGGTTCCGGAGCGGGGGAACCCACACCCGCCAGGGCTCCCCAGCTC